CTGGGGGTGCTGAGCCTGGGGGTGCTGCGTCTGGAGCTGCTGAGCCTGGAGGTGTGGAGCCTGCGGCCACTGGACCTCCCCTTGTGGCGTCTGGCGGTGCTGGGCCTGGAGGTTCTCCGGGTGTTTCGTCTCGGCGGGAGCCACTCTCTCCACAGGAGCTGCGTGAGTGGTTTGCTTGCCGCTGGAGGCGTACTGCTGGAGCTGGCGCTTCTTCGACCGCTGAGGGTGCTGGTGCCGCCGGTCCCGGAGCTGCTCGGCATGCGGGTTCGCCTGGAGCTGGAGCTGCTGAGGGTGTTGGTTCTGAGACTACTACTGTCCGTCCTGGAGGTGGTCGTGCTGCGGGTGCTGCTGGTGCTGCTGGAGGTCCTGTCGCTGGAGGTGCTGTTGGCGCTGGTGCTGCCGGAGGTGCTGAGGGTGCTGGTGCTGTCCCTGCTGTGTTTCGTGCCACCGCGCGGCCTCGGCTGTACTTCGTTCCGCTCCTTCAGCAGGTTCTTGGTCTTCCTCCTCTCTTAGAGGGTCCACCGCCTGTCCAGTCGCAGTCACAGTTACCGCCGGCCTCCCCACTGCCTTCTCCCTCTTCCTACACTGGTCCTACTGGGGGTCTTGCTGAGCGTCGTGAGCCTGCGTATCGTCCTGAGTCGCCTGTTCGTGCTGCTCGCACTAGTGGTCGTAGTTCGCGTCAGCGTCCTCCTCCTGTCCCTGGCACGCACCGGATGTCTGTGCGTCCGTCCACTGCTCTTCTGCGTGCCCCTTTGCCCTCTCCTCCTGAGTCCTCGCTTCCTGCTCTTGCCGACCCTGAGTCGGACTCTCTTCGTGCTGCCAGTCCTACTGTCACGCGTCTCCTTGCTACTGTCGTCACTGACCCCTCCTTTGAGTCCACTGCTGCGTCTGCTCTTGTTGCTGAGCTCGTCGACTTTGCTGCTCGCTGTCGTCTAGACTACGCTGCTAGTCTTGTTGCTGGGTCTGCGTCTGTCTGTCCTCCGTCCGTCGGGGGTGAGTGTGCTCTTGGCACGGACGTCCTTGAGGACAGGCAGGAGGAGTTTCAGTGTCTGGCTGCTGCTTCACCTCATCTCGCGTCTGTACTGCTTGCCCCTGAGGGAGACCCGGATGCACTAGACATCCCGACTCCGCGCTCTTACGCGGAGGCCGTCAGGGTCCCTACTCCTCTCAGTGGCAGGCAGCTATGGATGCAGAGATGGTTTCCTGGAAGTCCACAGGCACCTACGTTGACGAGGTTCCCCCTCGTGGGGCGAACATCGTCAGTGGCATGTGGATCTTCAGGGTGAAGCGGCCGCCGGGCTCTCCACCTGTCTTCAAGGCGCGGTACGTGGCTCGTGGCTTCAGTCAGCGGCAGGGAGTTGACTACTTTCAGACCTTCTCTCCCACCCCGAAGATGACCACTCTTCGGGTGCTGCTGCACATAGCCGCTCAGCGCGACTACGAGCTCCACTCTCTTGACTTCAGCACTGCTTTCTTGCAGGGTAGCCTGCACGAGGAGATCTGGCTGCGCCGTCCACCTGGCTTCACTGGGACTTTCCCTCCTGGCACCCAGTGGAGCCTCCGACGGCCAGTCTACGGTCTCCGCCAGGCACCGCGTGAGTGGCACGACACACTGAGGACTACGCTTGCGGCTCTTGGGTTTGCTCCCTCTACTGCTGACCCGTCGTTGTTTCTGCGCACCGACACTTCTCTGCCGCCGTTCTACATCCTCGTGTACGTCGACGACTTGGTCTTTGCCACAGCGGACACTGCTGGACTCGCCTACGTGAAGTCCGAGCTGCAGAAGAGACACACGTGCACAGACCTGGGTGAACTGCGCAGCTACCTTGGCTTGCAGATCACCCGAGACAGAGCACGCCGCACCATTACCTTGACTCAGTCACACATGGTGCAGCAGGTCCTTCAGCGCTTCGGCTTCACGTACTCCTCGCCTCAGGCCACTCCTCTGTCTACTCGCCACTCGCTCTCAGCTCTGCCTTCGGATGAGTCCGTAGAGTCGAGTGGCCCGTACCCAGAGCTTGTTGGCTGCCTCATGTACCTGATGACCTGCACTCGACCTGACCTTGCATACCCTCTTAGCATCTTGGCACGCTATGTTGCTCCTGGGAGACACCGACCAGAGCACATGGCTGCAGCGAAGAGGGTGTTACGCTACTTGTGCAGTACGTCGGGCATGTGGCTAGTGCTTGGAGGGCGGAGTCCAGTGGTCCTCACTGGGCACGCGGACGCTTCTTGGGCTGACGACCAGGCTACGCAGCGGTCGTCGCAGGGTTACACCTTCAGTCTTGGTTCCGGCTCTGTTTCGTGGCGGGCTACTCGCTCGCCTTCTGTTCTCGGCTCCAGTTGTGAGGCTGAGATCTACGCCGGGGCCATGGCTGCTCAGGAGCTTCGCTGGCTCACCTACCTGCTGACTGACCTTGGAGAGCCGCCTCGTTCTCCTTCAGTGCTGTACGTAGACAACAAGGCCATGCTGGCCTTGTGTCGAGAGCAGCGCCTGGAGCACAGAACGAAGCACATTGCTCTCCGCTACTTTCTTGCTCGTGAGCTGCAGCAGCGTGGTCAGTTGCGACTTGCGTACGTGGCCTCTGAGGCCAACACTGCTGATGTTTTCACCAAGGCACTTCCGCCTTGTGATCATCAGCGTTTCTTCACTCAGCTGGGACTTGTCCCTGTCTTGCCTCACTTGCTCACCTCCTGATCTTACTTGTACTCTTGCATATATATATATATATACCTGCTCTTGTTTGTTTAGACCTATATATATATATATATATATATATATATATATATATATGTCTCCTCCTGCATGTGAACTGGCCTTGTGGCCTTGACCTTGTGCTCAGACTGTGTGGTGACGTTGTGATCCACCCTGAGCTTGCTTTGCTTTGCTTTGCTTGACTGGTCTTGTGACCCCTTGTTCTCCCCACTTTGCCTATGGGGGTGTGTCAGAACATTATAGCTTATGCTTTTGTGTAGGCTATAGTGGAGTATCCCATAAGGGGTACAACCCAATTAGGGTTAGTACTTGTACCCACTTCACTCATAGTTCATTCACGTTCACTTCTTCACAATCAGTGTGCCTTGTAAACCCTGGCATATCAGGAAAATTCTAGCTCCCGAAAAAATTTACCCTAGGCCATCAATGTGACTACCAAAAACCACCCTGATAATCAGGGTATCAGGGAGATTTACACTAATAAAATTTGCCCTGGTCAGGATCTGCTGGTTTTCAACGTGACACCTGTATGGTTACTGACGTCAGCCGTTCTGACATTGCGATCTTTGGCTGGGAAGAGTTGAAGGTTTGAAAATTTGAACCACTTGTTACCCTTATGTCTTTACAAAAACACGTGTCAGCCCTGATAGACCGAACTGTACCGCGTCCTGATTTATGAGATGCCTAGAAACTGACTTCAAATAGCCATATGTAGCCTTCGCCGCGCCGACAATAGCGAAGCAGTGAGCGACTTGATTGGTGGCAGTCCCAACGTCCAGCCAGGAACTCAGCGCGCGACATCCCTTGGTCCAAAACGTTTTACAGGTCAATTTCTACGTTACAGAAGTGTTAAATACGGTACCTAAGCCTCGGCCCAATCTCAACGTCAACTCCGTCAGAGCACCAGGAAACAATATGCAACGGTTTATCCAGAATCCACCCCCCCACTCCACCAAATGCTGCCGTACAGCGAAGCAAGTGAGCACCAGACCAAGAATTCACATTTTGCTCATCGAAAGCGGTTCAGTACAATACCATGCACTCTGAAGCGGTATTCTCACTCGGACTTCCATTTCTCACTACTCACCAGTCCGAGCTGAACTTTCAGACATGTAGCGGAATGAGCACCATTACCAAGAATGTTTCAGTTAGATCGCAATGATGCGGCTACCCTCATAACCGAGCTACTCACGGCATTGCGGAGTTAGTGTTCTCCTTCCATTGAATCTTCAATAGCTTCTAGCTTTCTCTGATTTTCCTTACAGTGGAACTAAAGATGAACGCGGCGGCGATGGCTTCATGGAATCGAGCCGCAGTGCTCGTGCCGCCGTTCGTTATAGGCGTCTTGACGGGCTTCACTTTGCTGATGCTGCAGCAGTCACTGTCACCACGCATTCCGATATCATTTGACAGGGTAGAAACAGCAACGGTTCAGAACGAACATACGCCGATCGCGCCGGTTCGCAGTGAATCTCTAACCTCGTTTGAGGAGATCGTACCGTTTCGTTACAACACGAGCGCTGTATTAGTGGACGGAAAGCTGAACGTACACTTGGTGGCTCACTCGCACGACGATCTCGGTTGGCTGAAAACCATTGATCAGTATTACGTGAGTACGGACTACGAAAAATGCCAGAGATTGAGAGATTGAAGAATCGGATCGAATTCTGCGTTACTCTCTGTCAGGAGTCCTCACTGCAGCTTGAACTCGTCCGCTGTCCTCGCTGCTACAGCATTGTTCCCCGAAAATGTTGGAAATAGATTTCAAATGGATCTTCAAGGCCTCCCAGCCGGGCTGCGCTTCCGTAGGGAATTCGATAAGGGGCTTCTGTGTTTGGCGGAACATCGGTCTTTGAAGTTCGGAGAGCCGCATATTAAGTTCGTGACGTGAAATCATGGGCGTGGTTTGTATGACGTGGGTCCGTGTAGTCAGTTCACGCTGACAAGCGGAGATGACGAAAGTCTGACAAATGCTAACCTTCATCCGCACCCTGTTTCTGTTTCGTCGTACATCACTGCAGGTCGACCCGGTACAGTACATCATTGAGACCGTCGTTGACCAGCTTTCAGACAATCCTGACCGTAGATTCATTCAAGTCGAGCAGGTGAGAGCATCGTCTGGACCTAGTAATAGGTTCAATGTGGCCTTACGTTTGCACGGTAGTACCAAGTGCTCCGTACCTCTACTGCTAAATCCTAAGTGGAAGCATATTACAAGTCGCACCACTTATCTGTATTTCTGCAGGGTTTTTTCTATCGTTGGTGGGAACGCCAGCACGAACCAATGCGGGATAAAGTACGGAAGCTGGTGGCTTCTGGCCGATTGGAGTTCATGTGAGTCAGCCCATGCCTTGATGTAGACCGGGATTCACTGACAACATCGCATTCTGACATGTGACAGGAGGGATACGAATCTAGTAGCATCACCCATGCTTTTTCAAGTTTTCATTACCGTAGCATGCATGCATTCGCTGAATTCAAGTTTTCCCTCACCTCCAGAGCATGGCGTGTAGGTCATGCATGACAGGAGTACTGGGCATGCTGCACACCCCCATGGCGGGATGTTGAAGAACCCTCATTTGACATGTCATCCCCCCCTCCTCCCCCTCCTACAACCCCCACTCCCGTGTCTACCCTTCCCCCCACTTCCCCCTCCCTCCCCCTCCTTTCCTTCCCCTTCTTCTCTCATACACATATCTTCTATGTTTCTTCCATGTGCTATGCTGTGCAGCAACGGCGGGTGGGTGATGCATGACGAGGCGTGTGCACATTACACGGACATGGTGCATCAGATGGCCATGGGGCACCGCTTCCTCATGGCGACATTCAACGTCACCCCGCGCATCGCCTGGCAGATCGACCCCTTCGGCCACTCTGCTACTCAAGCCAGCCTCATCACTGCTCAGGTGCGGCCTGGGCAGGTGGTCCTTCCCCTCCTTCATTTCCCTTCCCCCCCACCTCCCCCCCACTTAGTCCCCCCCCACCCCTCCCCACATGCATGTCCACCAGGCGCAGTGTTCATGGGGAGGGTGGACCAGCAGGCAAAGGACGCTCACATGGCCGCCTGCGAATTCCAACCCCTGCCCCCTTTCCCATTCCCCATCCCTTCCTCTCCACGAAATCACCACCACCCCTCTCTTCCCACCTTCCCCTTTCCCCCACCCTTCTCCCACAAGCATCTCTCCACCAGACGGGGCTACAAGCGGTGTCCATGGGGAGGGAGGACCAACAGGAGAGGGAGACTCGGTTGACCATCCACTCCCACCCCCGACCCCCCATCCCTTTTCCTCCCACCCACCTCCCACACACGTGCCCACCAGGCGGGGTTGGAAGCCGTGTTCATGGGGAGGGTGGACCAGCAGGAAAAGGAGTCTCGTTTGGCCGCCAAAACAATGGAGTTTGTGTGGCGGGCAGACGGGGCGACGCAGAGAGAAAACCAGGTGTGTGCTAGGGTGTGCTGCTGCTGTATGGTAGGGTGTGTTACGGTGGATTCTATTGGAAAAGCAGACTCGTTTGGCCACCAAAACAATGGAATGGAGTTTGTGCGGCGTGCTGAAGGGGCGTCACAGAGAGACAACCAGTTGTGTGTGATATGTGAGGAGGCTGATTGAATGGTAGGGTGTGCTGCTGGGGATTGAATAGGAGAAGCAGGCTCACATGTCCGCCAGGACATCACAGTTCGTGTGCCAGACAGGCAGGCAGCTGTATTTCTCTAATACACGAACTGGGGCCACATGTGGTATTGTCTACGACAGACAATACGAAGGTTCGTTCGAGGCAACCAGGTGGGCCACATGTCATGCTGTTGAGATGTAGGGTGTGCTGTTGTGGAGCGAATATTGCGTGCGTTGTACGGGTGATGGTGAAGATAGGATCTGGTGGTGCTCGTGCATTGAGTGTGCTTCGGTTAGATTGGTCGTACCAAGGTCACCATCTTCTCTCCTCTTGTCAAATGCAATGCACCTGATCCGCTAGATTGCATGTAGCAAAGCGAGTTCTTATCCTCTTCTTACATTTTAATTCAAAACTAGCAGATAGCACTGTGAGTCAACTCTGCCAGCGGCAGATGAAGTCAAATTCGCGTCAAAGACTTTGGATGTCACGAGCACCATCGGATGTCATGCGCCCAGCAATCAAGGTGGCTTTTTTGACGTTCGCGAGCGCGGCGATCTCGATTTCAAAAAACCTTCATCGTCAACCTTGGAATGGTATTCGGTTACTACTTGCCCATACCAGGAAACAGACGATCCTACCAGCCATTCCCCTCGCCACCCCACTCTCTCCACCCCTCTCCAACCCTCTCCCAGGTGCTGGGAATGGTATCCTATGATGGTTACTACTCGCCCTCACAGTTCCGCTACCAGGACTCAGACGATCCTTCTTACCGCATTCAGGTACTCCCTCGCTCTCTCTGCTGCTCTGCACTCGCCCCTCTGCTGCAACGCACTTGCCCCTCTGCTGCAACGCACTTGCCCCTCTGCTGCAACGCACTTGCCCCTCTGCTGCAACGCACTTGCCCCTCTGCTGCAACGCACTTGCCCCTCTGCTGCTCTGCACTTGCCTCTCTGCTGCACAGCAAGCTTCATGTGTGCACCTCTCCTGTAGGCGCGTGATAAAGGAGTGTTTTTGAGACGTCTCACCATGCCTTCCACCATGCCTTCCACCATGCCTGTCAGCACCATGCCTTGCACCACTCAGTGTTTCGGCTGATCACTTGTGTGGATCCCTGGTCGTGTGCGCACTGAACCCCCTTACTCCTGACAACCCCATTTCACTCTGCAAGAGTAACTCCCCCTTTCCTGCCTTGTCGCACCACCACAGCTTCCCCACACCCTCTGCTCTTCCATTGCTCGATCTGCTCTACCATCGTCCCTCTGCCCTCGTCCACTGGTCAGGACAATCCCTATGGGGGGTCGCCCAACGTGCAGCGCCTGGTGGACGAGTTTGTAGCGGAAGTGACCAAGAGGGTGAGTGAGTGGCTCTTGGGCCTTCAAGTGGTTCTTGCCCAGTACATGTTTTTATAGTTGACATAAAAACGAACGTGCAGCGCCTCGCAGAAGAGTTTGTTGCAGAAGTAACACCGAGGGTGGGTGAGTGAGTGGCGCTTGGAGTGTGCTTTGAGACGTCTTGAAAATTTTGACACCGAGAGTGAGTGGTGTGGCGCTTGGACTGTGTTTCAAGCGCACTTGCACAGTAGATGTTCGTGTTAATCATGCTGAAGTGCTCATGGTTTGAAATATGGGCGACGTGACTGATTGAGCGCGCAATGTTAGTCGCCTAAGTTTTTTTCACGTTTCTTGGTACTTGCATGGGGCCTTCAAGTCTTCTAAGTTCCCTGGTGTGCGTGATTGGCCCTCCTCTGTACCATCCACAGCGTCTTTCCACCCGCCAACCCCTCTATCTCAAAACCCTTTCTTCCTCTCACTGCCTTAACCGTTGCTCTCCACGGTTCTCATCTCACTCACCCCCCAAGGGGCCTCACGGGTTTAAGATATGCTGTTCCCTATGAGCAAGGACTTTGCGTTGAACCAGCCACCCTTCACCCATTGCATCCTCTGCACCTCACCGAGTGAGTGAGGCTCACTCTCTCCCACACACTCTCCCGAGGAAGCAGAGGGCTTCAAGGCGAATCACCTGCTGCTTCCCATGGGCGAGGACTTTACCTTGAACCAAGCCCTCACTCACTCACTCACCCACTCATTCACTCACTCACTCACTAACTCCCTTGCTGCTTCTTCTACACCTTACTCTCTCTCACACTAACTAACAGGCGGAGGGCTTTAAGACGAATCACCTGCTGTTCCCCATGGGCGAGGACTTTGCGTTTGACCGCGCCATCTTGTGGTTCAAGAACATGGACAAGCTCATTCACTACGTCAACCTGGTCGGTCGCTCGCTGGGTGGTTGGTGTGGTATGGCATGGCATGGCTTGACATGACACATCATGCGATGGGATGGGATGGGATTGCATGCTATCTCGTGGTTCAAGAACATGGACAAGCTCATTCATTATGTCAACCTGGTCAGTCGCTGTTGGGTCGCTGTGTGTTAGGCATGGCTTGGGATGGCATGGCGTGGCATGCCATCTCGTGGTTTAAGCTCATTCACCACGTCAACCTGGTCAGTTGCTCGCTGGGTGCGAAGTGGGCTGATGGATGCTGGATGATTGGGTTGGGTCGCTGCTGGTTGCTTGGCTTGGCATGGCATGGGGTGGGATGGCGTGCGTGACATGCCATGCCATCTCATAAGAAACCAATTTTTTGCACCTTGGGATGAGATTTTACTCATTTTAACTCTGTACCTGTGTTACAGGACGGGAGGGTGAACGCGCTCTATTCCACGCCATCCATGTATCTGGACGCACTCCACTCTGCCAATGCCACGTGGCCTCTCAAGACTGGTGACATGTTCCCGTGAGTCAGCAGGCAGGCAACGGTTTGGTTACCCCTGCAACTAGCCATCCCCACCCACCCGCACCCATCCGCGCCCACACGCACTCACCACACTGCATTCATCTATATATGTTCTTAAAAAGAATATATATCTCTCTCACCCATCATGCCCCCCTATCGCTCACCCATTCCCCTTCCCCTTCTCCCTCCCAATCTCTGCTTTTCCATGCCCAAGAGTCTCTCACCCCAGCCATGGGGAGGACGGCTCAGCACGCCCCACCGGGCGGCACAGCACACCCCGCTGGGCGGCACAGCACACCCCGCTGGGCGGCATAGCACGGCACAGCACACCCCGCTGGGCGGCATAGCACACCCCGCTGGGCGGCACAGCACGCCCCACTGGGCGGCACAGCACGCCCCACTAGGCGGCACAGCACGCTCCACTGGCCGCCACAGCACGCTCCACTGGACGGCACATCACGCCCACTGGACAGGCTGGGCCATGGCACAAGGGAACCTATTCTCTGCATAGAGTTCTCACATACCCTCCCCCCAGTCTCCCCCCTTCCCGCTCCCCTCCCCCCTTGCCTCACCCCTCACCCCATGCATGTGCCCCTCGCCCCAGCTATCAGGACGATGGGCCCTACTGTTCGGGCTACTTCAGAGGAGAAACCATTGTCCGCATATGTTCTCGCGTTCCCCCCTCGTCCCCATTCCCCTCCCTCCCTTCCGCCCACCCTCTCCCTCCCCTCCGCCCATGCGCCCCTCGCCCCAGCTACCAGGACGACGGGCCCTACTGGTCCGGCTACTTCACATGAGGACCCTTCTCCGCATATTTTCCCCCGTCCCCCAACCCCTCCCTCTTCTCCGTCCATGCGCTCCTCGCCCCAGCTACCAGGACGACGGGCCCTACTGGTCCGGCTACTTCAGCAGCCGCCCCTCTCTGAAGCTCCTCGCGCGCTCCTGCAGCGCCCTGCTGCTGGTGCGCTGCCCTCTCAACCTGCTCATTTGATGTGGTGTGGTGTGGTGTGGTGTGGTGGGATGGGATGGGATGGGCTGGGATGGGCTGGGGTGGGATGGGATGGGATGGGATGGGATGGGATGGGATGGGATGGGATGGGATGGGATGGGATGGGATGGGATGGGATGGGATGGGATGGGATGGGATGGGATGGGATGGGTTGGGATGGGATGGGATGGGATGGGATGGGATGGGATGGGATGGGATGGGATGGGATGGGATGGGATGGGGTGGGGTGGGGTGGGGTGGGGTGGGGTGGGGTGGGGTGGGGTGGGATGGGATGGGATGGGATGGGATGGGATGGGATGGGATGGGATGGGATGGGATGGGATGGGATGGGATGGGATGGGATGGGATGGGATGGGATGGGATGGGATGGGATGGGATGGGATGGGATGGGATGGGATGGGATGGGATGGGATGGGATGGGATGGGATGGGATGGGATGGGATGGGGTGGGGTGGGGTGGGGTGGGGTGGGGTGGGGTGGGGTGGGGTGGGGTGGGGTGGGATGGGATGGGATGGGATGGGATGGGATGGGATGGGATGGGATGGGATGGGATGGGATGGGATGGGATGGGATAGGATGGGATGGGATGGGATGGGATGGGATGGGCTGGGGTGGGATGGGATGGGATGGGATGGGATGGGATGGGATGGGATGGGATGGGATGGGATGGGATGGGATGGGATGGGATGGGATGGGATGGGATGGGATGGGATGGGATGGGATGGGATGGGATGGGATGGGGTGGGGTGGGGTGGGATGGGATGGGATGGGATGGGATGGGATGGGATGTCACATTGGGTCTTACTCCCTGAAGCTCCTCGTGCGCTCCTGCAGCTCGCTGCTGCTAGCGCGCTGCTTATTTCAGCTGCCTGTTTCTGTGTGATGCTATGGGATGGGATGGGATGTTGTATGGTATGATGCGATATGCTGTGTTGTGATGTGATTATGATGTGACGCGAAAAGAGAATTCACCTATTAATTATTTCCCTCCCTACAGTCACATCATCCAGACCTGCCGCACCCTCCCATCTTTCACTCTGGCCTGTTGTTTCAACCATTTGAGTCAACTCAACAGTCACATCAATCACGTTTTCCTCACTCACCCATGTTTCACGCAACCCGTCGGTCGATGCTGCTCGCCTGGCCTACATGCAGGGGACTGGTTGGTTGGTTGGCGTCAGTGCTGGAAGCTACGGATGCCTGAACCCACCTGGCTCACGTCACTTGGCGCGCCCTTGAAAAGCACACTTGCCATTGCTTCCTTTCAAGGACAAGAAGTGGGCTGAAGCTGTCTTGCTTACCCCAACAGCATCACATGTGTGCCTGTCCTGCTCTCTCGTCCTTCAGGCCACCACAGCAGCAGAGGCAGCAGTGGGGAAGGAAGCGCTACAGGCATGGGGCATGGCGACGGGGCGCATGATGGTACTGGAGCACCTTGTGCTCGACACACACATGGGCAAGACGACCAGAGACAGCCAGAAGGAGGAGAAGCAGGCGGATGGGGGGGAGAGTGCGGGAGGGGTGGAGCGGATGAGGGTGGGGTGGGAGAGCGAGCGGCGGGTGCGAGTGGCGAGCTCGTTCCGGTTGGAGGAGGCGGTGGCAGTGGTGCAGCACCATGATGGCATCACAGGCACGGCGCAGCAGCATGTTACCGATGACTACTCTGACAGGCTGCACCGCGCTTCTGAGGAGGTGAGGGTTGCACGGATAGAGGTTGATCCCTTCAGTGCACGGGTAGAGACTGCTCCTGTGAGTGTATGGCATGGGCTAGAGGAGGCGGTGGCAGTGGTGCAGCACCATGATGGGATCACAGGCACGGCGCAGCAGCATGTTACCGATGACTACTCTGACAGGCTGCACCGCGCTTCTGAGGAGGTGAGGGTTGCACGGATAGAGGTTGATCCCTTCAGTGCACGGGTAGAGACTGCTCCTGTGAGTGTATGGCATGGGCTAGAGGAGGCGGTGGCAGTGGTGCAGCACCATGATGGGATCACAGGCACGGCGCAGCAGCATGTTACCGATGACTACTCTGCTCTGCTGCACCGCATTGCTGAGGAGGTGAGGGATGAGTGCATGGGTAGAGGTTAGTCCCCTCAGTGCAAGGCGAATGGACTGGAGGAGGCGGTGGCAGTGGTGCAGCTCCATGATGGCATCACGGGCGCGGCCCAGCAGCACGTTACTGATGATTACTCTTCCAGACTTCACCGCGCTTCAGAGGAGGTGAGTGCGTGCCTGATGACTGGCTTGCTACAGCTAGGGCTGGTCGGGGTTAGGGTTGAGCTCGTTCCGGCTGTAGGCGGCGGTGGCAGCGGGGCAGCACCACGACGGCATTACAGGCACGGCACAGCGGTACGTTACTGATGATTACTCTGCTAGACTTCACCGCGCTGCGCTGGAGGTGAGCTGTGGCGTGGATGGCGACGGATGGTATTAGGTGCTGCGTGCATGTGTGAGCTCCTATGCGTGCATGTGTGAGCTCCTATGCGTGCAACACCGCATCACAGGCACAGCACAGCAGCATGTTACTGACGACTGCTCTGAACGGCTGTATTGCACTGCACTGCCGAGGTTGGGTGCTGCGTACATACACGTATGGGTTGGTTTGGTTTGGGTTGGGTTGGGTTGGGTGCGACATGCATGGTATTACCATAGACTGCTCCTTTAAATGGGTTCAGGCTGGTGCTAGCCTCCCAACCTCACGGGCCCCCATTCCCCATACCACCCACCGCCGACCGCCGACCCAGGCATCCACCAGCTGTGCTCACAGCAGCCCTCATGCACCTCATCACGCGAGGCACCCCCCACCCCTCCCCAGACACTCCACTCCACACACCTAGGTGACTTTTGAGTCGACTCAAAAGTCACCTCACTCCACACACCTCACCTCGCCATCCCCATCTTCCCCACCCATAGAGGAATCAGCCGTGCTGACACCTCATCATGCGAGGCACCATCCCCCCTCTCCAGGCACTTCACACACCCCACCATCCCCATCCGTACCCCCTCCTGCCAACTTCCCCTCCCATCTCCCAACCTCCCATGCCCCACCCTACCAACCGCCCATGCAGGCATCAGCCGTGCTGACAGCAGCACTGGCGCACCTCATCACGCGAGGGACCCTCCCCCCATCCCCATCCGTACCTCCATCCAACCTCTCCTCCAACCTCTCCTCGCGGGCAGCAGCAGCCGTGGAGTTCACATTTAGGGAGGACAGTGTCGAGCAGCGCGGGTGGGGGTTCTGGAACCAGTTAGCAGATGGAGCAGAGGAGGAGGACGAGGAGGATGAGGAAGATGAGGGGGACGAAGAGGGTAAGGCACGCAACAAAATCGACAGGATGAATGAGTTATTGTATGAGGCGGATAGAGCAGGTGCGGCGGCGGATGACGAAGATGAGGGGGATGAGGAGGCGGGAGAGGGAGATGGTGGGCAGCATGCTGCAAGGTCCCGTGCAAAGAAGAAAGTCCCTCACGTGACGGAGGAGACAATATCTGAGTCGACTCAGAAAAATTCCCGTGTGGAAAAGAGGGTTCCTGACAAGGAGGAGGAGGAGGAGGAGGAGAGAGCAAGCGACCCCAATGAGGTGTTTGACCCTCAGTCGTTGCAGCCAGCTGACCCTCAAGCGGTCCAGAATGGTGCTGCTGGCCGTGCTGCTGACGGCACACGGGCTGAGGAGAGGAGGGTGCAGGAGGTGGAGGAGGGGCAAGTGAGCAGGGGGCGGAGAAGGAGGGGGGTGACGCTGGGCGACGGTGCCAAAGCAGAGCAGGGGGGACAGCAGCTTCCTTCACTGAACCTGAAAATGGTGTGTGATGGTGTTGATGGTGGCGGTGTGATGTGGTGGTGGTTTGATGGTGGTGTGATTGTGGTGTGATGGATGGTGGTGTGAGTTGATGGTGGTGTGATGTTGATGATTGTAGAAGTGCGAAACAGGAGCTGGTCAACGAGGTGACTGATTCCCTGGATGTTTCTTTTTGCTACGCCACGATGGTCAAAGGGGCGATTGGTTGGATTCAATGAAATTGACAGGTTTTGAGACGTCTCAAAACTAGACGTTGTAAAACCAAAGGGGCGATTTGATTGGATCAGATCAGGTTGACAGACTGTACCAACCAGACCAGCTGCTCTTTCAACTGCTCCCACTACGTCTGAGCATCACAAATTGTTGTGCTCCAACCATTTGTGACCGCTATGCTCCTAACCTCTATGCTGCTTCCATCTTGCCTGTCATCCTCTCATCCCTCCTCCCTCTATCACCCCCTCTCATCCCTGAATTCCACTCCCCACCCTCCCTTCCTTCCCCCCTCTTCACAGTGCCCTCTGCTCAACATCTCCTATTGCCCTCCAACCGAAACACCCCTGCAGCCAGATCAGACCCTGGTACGTACCCTGCGTGCTGTGCTGTTTCACATGCCATGCCACACACACACCATCCCATAAAGCGCCGTGAAGCATTCCCTCATGCAGTCAGTCAACTCAAAACCCACTGACCTGTGCATCCTTGCTTCCCTCTGTTTCACTGCCCATTTCCCAACTGCCCGTTTCCGCATCTCCTTTGCTTGCCTTCCTTGCTACTTTCTCACTCACCTCTCACATCCATCCCTACTCTCACCTCCATCTAACTTCTCACCCACCTCCCTCTCCATCTCTCTCTTTCAGTTCCATACGCACCGCTTGTCTCCATGCTTCCTCCCTCCCACCCATATCCTTATACCCGGGCACCTTTGAGAATTCCCAAGGCACCTTTGAGAACTCCCAAGGCACCTTTGAGAATTCCCAAGGCACCTTTGAGAACTCCCAAGGTACCATTGGGAATTCCCAAGGCACCTCATCCATATCATATCGGCCCACACGTCTCCACCTTTCTCATCCATCCATACCCATCGGGCCATCCCACAGGTGGTGGTGGCCTTCAACCCTCTTATGAGGTGCCTCAAAAGCACCTCATCTGTATCATATTGGCCCACACGTCTCCACCTTTCCCATCCATCCATACCCATCCCACAGGTGGTGGTGGCCTTCAACCCTCTCGCGTGGTCCCGCTCTGAAGTGATTCGATTCCCGGTATGAGTGCACCGCGCACCCTTCAATGCTGTTACTTGCTTCATCCATCTTGCCTTGCATTGGCATTAAGCATCAGCAATTGCATCAGCAACTGCATGGGCACCTGCATGGGCACCGGCACCAGAGGTCGACAGCATTAACAAGTGAACGATTTGTTGCCCTCCTCTCCCTTACAACGCAGAGGTTTCACACACTCTCCCTCCCCACACAACACCCCCCTCCCTCTGTTCTCACTCCTTGATAGGTATCTTTCCCCAGCTTACTCCTCACTGCTGCCTCTCATGCCCCCATCCCCTCTCAAATTTCTCAACAATCACTCTCCTCCCTTTTTACATTCACTCCACTCCAACCACATCATGTCTTACGCCCTTTCCATCCCTTCCCTCCTCTGCTCCTCCCTCTCTCTCTCCCCTTCCCACTACGCTCCTTGACAGGTGTCATCCCCCTACCTTCTAGTCACTGATGCCTCTGGCGCCCCCATCCCCTCTCAAAAACTTCAAGAGACCCTCCTCTCCCCTCCCTCTGTTCCCCCCGTCTCTCCGCCTCTCCCACTGCTCTCCCTGACAGGTGTCATCCCCCCATCTCCTTGTTACCGACGCTTCTGGCGCCGCCATCCCTTCTCAAATACTCCAAGAGACCCTCCTCTCCCCCTCCACCTGCTCCACTCCAACCACATCAGGGCTTACGCTTTCCCTTCCACCCCCTCCCTTCTCTTCCTCTCCCCTCTCCCCCTCTCCCAATGCTCTCCCTGACAGGTGTCATCCCCCAATCTGCTAGTCGCCGACGCCTCTGGCGCCCCCATCCCCTCTCAAATAATCAGGGAGACGCTCGTCACCCCCGCCACCCGCTCCACCTACATTGCTGCTTACACTGGCGTGGGGGAAATAGTAGGAGAGGTGGAGGGGGAGGAGGAAGGGGTGGAGGGGGGGGAAGGAGGGGAGGAGGGAGCGGAGGAGGGGGAGGAGGGGGATGAGGAGGAGGGCGGGGAGGGGGAGGAGGAGGAGGAGTGGGTGGATTATGGGGATGGGCGAGGGCCGCAGCCGAGCCATAAGCCGAAAAGGAAGCATCGGGAGAGGCAGACGAAGGAGGAGACGGGGGGAGAGCAGAAGGAGGGAGAGCAGAAGGAGGGAGAGCAGAAGGAGGGAGAGCAGAAGGAGGGGGAGCAGCGGGAGGGAGAGCAGGAGGGAGAGCAGCAGCAGCAGCAGCAGCAGCAGCAGCAGCAGCAGCAGGCAGTGCTGTCGCTTGTGTTTTATGCAGAGGTGCCTCCTCTTGGATTCGCCACCTTCTTTGTCTCGCCAGCAACCCAAGGTACAGCACCTATCATCAGTCAGGTACGCTGTCTAGCCCATCTCGAAAAATCGTCACTCGGGTTTGCTACTCATGGCGGAAGAGCAGCAAATCTGAAGCTTGTCAAAGTACAGAAGCTGTGGTATACAGCTCGCTAAGGTATGTTCCAAGGAAAGAGCTCACTGGAAAGGACGGTTTGCCAAGGTATGTTCCATGCAGACAAGCACATGCACAGAGAGCAAGCAGAGCATGCTACGTGTGTGCTTCCTGTCACACCACAGCACCCCTGCAAACCACTCTGCTCCCTTGCTCACCTGCCTCTCACAATTCCACGCCTTCCCCACGTGCAGACACACCTGGCAGAGCGTACGAGAGTGCTGCATGGAGCAGTGTGGTTGACGCTACAGCAACAACGGCAGCGGCAGCAGCAGCAGCACAGCCTGTGGCAGCACCGCTGCCTGCGACAGCAGCAGCAGCATCATCAGCATCTGAAAAGGCATCAGCTGAGACGGAAGCTGCAGCGGCCCAGGCAGGGGCAGCCGAGAAGCAACCCGGCAAGGCGGGGAGGGGGAGGAACACGAGAGGGCGGAGGATGGCGGTGCGCGGTGGACAGGAGGGAGGGTTGAACGGTGGGGAGAGGAGAGGGAGAGAGGCGGGGAGCAGGGGGAGAGGAAGCAGGAGGGGGTTGCATGGCGGTGGTGGGGGAATGGAGGAGGGCAAGATGGGTGGGGGAGGAGGAGAGGGAGGGGGAGGGGGAGGGAGGGGGCTGGAAGGGGGTGATACTGTTGTGCTGGGAGGGTGGCAAGGCGTGGGGGCCACTCGTGGTAGCGGTGCTGCTGGTGCTGGCACGGACGGTGGGGAGCGGGCTGCGTTGCGTGTCTCGTTCTCCAAGTCAGCGGTGGGCATGCAGCGGATGGAGCTGGTCTCTCGGAGTGCCAATGGCACGGAGGAGGTTGTGGTGAGTGGTGTGGCACGGGGGAGATTGTGGTGTGGCAGTGGAGTAAGTAAGTGGTGGGTGGTGATGTGACTATGGCGGGCAATTAGCGATGGGTGTTGAGTGAGGGAAAAGGGTTGGCTGGCGGCATGAGCAGGGATGACATGGGCAGGGATGACATGGGCAGGGATGACATGGGCAGGGATGACATGGGCAGGGATGACATGGGCAGGGATGACATGGGAAAGGATTACATGGGCAGGGATGATTTGTTACTGGCTGGGATGATTTGTTACTGGCTGGGATGATTTGTTACTGGCTGGGATGATTTGTTACTGGCTGGGATGATTTGTTACTGGCTGGGAAAGCGAGATTAGAAAGGATAGAATGGGTAACCTCCTGCAAGCTGTTGCAGTTGAAGAGCATATTGACTTGACACAGTGGATCGTGTCAATCCTTCTTTCTACTTTCTTTGCAACTAAAGCATAGCGTACTCACATAGTGAAGCGAAAACACTGTACTTTCCAGTCCAGCCGACAATGGCACTTGGTAGGCACTGCACTTGTACCATCCTCAAATGGATGTAATTTCTCGTTGTGCACTCCTGTTACATGCCCTGTCATGTCATCTGCTCTGCTCCCTGCATACCATGGCACGCACCCCCTCACCCCACCACATCATCCCATCCCACGCCCCCCCATGCCGCGCCATGGCACAGCGCATGGGCATGGCAGTGAGTGCCAGCATGATGGAGTATGCCACCTTAGCTTGAGGTGCATACATCGTACCACCTCATCCACTCCACCCCACCCCATGCCACGGCAGCGCATGGGCATGGCAGTGAGTGCCAGCATGATGGAGTATGCCACATTCGCCGGCGGCGCATACATCTTCCAACCCTCCAAGCCAGCCATGCCCATCACCTCCACCAACGCCACCTACCAGGTCAGTCAGTGGACGTGTGGGTCACAACAAGCGCCAAGGTGCACGCAGCATGGATCTCACACTCCACTGATAGAACCAGTGCCTTGAGTCTCCACTGGTAGAACCAGTGCCTTGAGTCGTTCAAGTCACAGCAGGTGCATACATCTGAGTCGCTTTTGAGAATTCTCAAGAGCGACATCTTCCAGCCCACCAAGCCAGCCACGCCCGTCACCACCACCACGAATAGCACTCACCAGGTCAGTGGGCGGGAGGGTGGGTCACGACTCAGAACCACCACCATGACGCAGCATGCCTCTCGCAGGGCAGTGGTGGCGCCAGTGGCAGTGTCTTGAGAATGAAAAGGTCAGAGGAGGTGGTGTGTGCACCGCAGCGCATGGGCATGTACGTGATGCACCATAGTGCGACATGCTTGTGATGCTTCTCCTGCTGCACCGGTGCTGACTGTGCCTTCAGTGTAGAATGGCTCTTGATGGCTGGGGTGGGTGGGTGCTCTCGTGGGTGCGTGCGTGCATGGGTGGGTGGGTGGGTGGGTGGGTGGGTGGAGTGAAGCCGCTTTACAGCACCAGGCCTTTGATTTCCATGAGATTTTTGTTCTGCTCTGCTGACGTGGCACAGGTGCCCATTCACATCCAGCGTGGACCAATCGTGGAGGAGTTCAGCCGCCAGATCACTCCATGGATCTCTGAGGTGAGTGCACTTCCTTCACCTCCTTCTCCTCCACCTCCTTGAGTGTGCAGGGCACTTTTCAGAAACATAAACCCGCAACTTCCTGCAGTGGTGCATAAATGGATTCCCTTTTTGTTACCTCGCCCTACCCACTGCAACGTGCTTCCACTGCCTCATTGCATCCTCCCGCTGCTTGCGTCTCTGCCGCTCTGCACCGCTCCCAACTCCCAGGTCTTCAGAGTGTATCCAGGGGGGGACTACGCTGAGCTGCACTATTCCGTGAGTGCTCTCTGATTCTTGCACACCCTGGTTTCCAGAATCCGCATGAACCGACTCTTCATTTCAGTCGTCTCACAAGACATTGCCTGGGCCAACCGGCTGTGGTCTGACAAGACGTTGCTTGGGCCAGATGGATCCCTGCCCCCCTGGGGTGGCAACCAGACCAGAGGTGGTGGTGTTTCGCCTCACCACTGCTTGTGAAGCCATTTCCACGCGATGGAAAAGGAATGCGCTGCTAGTTCACATCAGCCTGTGCTGTTCATTGCTGTGTGCGTGCGTGCGTGCGTGTGTGTGTGATGACCAGGTGGGTCCGCTGCCCGCCAAGCAACCCAACCACGAGGTGGTGACTCGCTTCGTGTCGCCCATCAACAGCAGCAAGGCCTTCTACTCCGACTCCAATGGCCGCAGCTACCTCAAGCGGGTGAGACGTTGTTTGTTGTTTGTTGTGTACACACACAGTCCGTGTTGGCGCCTGGAAGCTCTCTTCAATGCGCCCATCAACAGCAGCAAGGCCTTCTACTCCGACTCCAATGGCCGCAGCTACCTCAAGCGGGTGAGACGTTGTTTGTTGTTTGTTGTGTACACACACAGTCCGTGTTGGCGCCTGGAAGCTCTCTTCAATGCGCCCATCAACAGCAGCAAGGCCTTCTACTCCGACTCCAATGGCCGCAGCTACCTCAAGCGGGTGAGAGGGTGTTTGTTGCGCTCGCATGAGTGTACACTACACGGTCATTGCTTGCTGCTGCCTGGCAACTCGACACGCTTCACTGCTCCCATTGACAGCAGCACAACCCGCTATTCTGAATCCAACAGCCAGAGCTACATCATGCGGATGACTTTCGTGGATAATCAAAAGTGACTTTCAATAGCCTGAGCTGCAACAAGCGGGTGAGAGAGGTTGCAGATCTGGGTTCCTGACAGGCTACCGTTGACAGGAGGAGCTCTTTTCACGCAGTGGGGTGGGTGGTTGATCGCCACGTGTATGAAGTAATGTTTTGAGATGTCTCAAAGCTATATCAAGCGGGTGAGAGAGGCTGTAGATTTGGGATCCTGACAGGCTACTGATGACAAGAGGAGCTCTTTTCACACAGTGGGGTGGGTGGTTGATCGCTTCCCTCCTCGTGACAACAGCAGCAGCACTGGTCACCCTGATTCAAGTGGCGGAGTCACATCAAGCGGGGTAGAGGGTGTTGCCTTCACGGCTCCCATCCACAGCAGCAAGACAAATGCCATTGCCAAGTGGCAAATGCTCCTATGGACGTGCCCAATATACCGCCTATAAGGTGACTTTTGAGTCGACTCAAAAGTCACCAGGTGGCAAATGCTCCTATGGACGTGCCCAACATACCACCTACATCAGCCCAGCATCCCACACACCATTCCACCATCCCCACCATCCTCACCATCCCCACCATCCCCACCATCCCCACCATCCCACCATCCCCACCATCCCCACCATCCCCACCATCCCCACCATCCCCACCATCCCACCTTCCCCACCATCCCCACCATCCCCACCATCCCACCATCCCACCATCCTCACCATCCCCACCATCCCCACCATCCCCACCATCCCCACCACCACCACCACCACCACCACCACCACCACCACCACCACCACCACCACCACCACCACCACCACCACCACCACCACCACCACCACCACCACCACCACCACCACCACCACCACCACCACCACCACCACCACCACCACCACCACCACCACCACCACCACCACCACCACCACCACCCCGCGTTCAGGTGGTAGACTACTGCTCTGACTTTTGAGTCGATTTCAAATTCATCCCATCATCCCCACCACCCCGCACGCATTCAGGTGGTGGACTACCGGTCTGACTGGGACCTCAATGTCACCGACTCCATTCATACCCTCTCCCTTCACCATGCTGTCTCCATTCACCACCCACCACCCCCACCACACCACCCCACCATCGCATGTTCAGGTGGTGGACTACCGGTCTGACTGGGACCTCAATGTCACCGACCCCATCGCAGGGAACTACTACCCGGTGAGTCAACGCAAGTCAACAGAGTCAGGACAGTCAATCACAGTCAACTAGAGGCAGCAGAGTCAACCAGAGTCAACTCAAGGCAAGAATCAGTGCACCTGGGAGTGGTCCTGTCTATGAATGACACAATCGCATTGGCAAGTCAATAGGAACAAGAGTCTTCTCTTTTTGTTTCCCCTCCGAGCCGTCGTGCACCCATCCTTCTGTTGATTTGCCTTCTTCCATCATCCCTTGCTCTCCACTCCACTCCAGCTTACGGTCGGGGCTTTCATAAAGGACAAAGAAGCCCAGTTGTCCGTGCTTGTGGACCGGGCGGCAGGCGCTGCCAGCCTGGCATCCGGCCAGATAGAGGTCATGCTACACAGGTGAGGTCACTGTAGCATCTCTGTAGCACAGGAGAGGGTACTGTAGCACGAGTGAGGGTACTGTAGCACGAGTGAGGGTACTGTAGCACGAGTGAGGGCACTGTAGCACGAGTGAGGGTACTGTAGCACGAGTGAGGGTGCTGTAGCACGAGTGAGGGTACTGTAGCACGAGTGAGGGTACTGTAGCACGAGTGAGGGTACTGTAGCACGAGTGAGGGTACTGTAGCACGAGTGAGGGTACTGTAGCACGAGTGAGGGTACTGTAGCACGAGTGAGGGTACTGTAGCACGAGTGAGGGTACTGTAGCACGAGTGAGGGTGCTGTAGCACGAGTGAGGGTACTGTAGCACGAGTGAGGGTGCTGTAGCACGAGTGAGGGTACTGTAGCACGAGTGAGGGTGCTGTAGCACGAGTGAGGGTACTGTAGCACGAGTGAGGGTGCTGTAGCACGAGTGAGGGTACTGTAGCACGAGTGAGGGTACTGTAGCACGAGTGAGGGTACTGTAGCACGAGTGAGGGTGCTGTAGCACGAGTAAGGGTACTGTAGCATAGGTAAGCCTGTTAGAAAGAAAAGAATGATGGAAGAGTGATTATTCTATTAGAGAATCACAGAAATACACAGGTGAGAAAAACGGGGAGGAGGGGGGGAGGAGGGGAGGGGCGGGGAAAGGATACTTTGGCCAACATTATTGGCCCCCACCAATAGGTTGATTGGGAAATTATGGCGGGGGCCGATATTTTTTGTAAGGGTGTGCCAAGATTATTGCGTCTCCAGTAATCTCCCAATCCAACCTTTGGGGGCCAAACGATTGGGCCAAGGTCAGACACTCAACCCCACCTAGGGTAAACCCTGTATTGTGCTCCCACCTGTAGTTTGAGCAGAATGATGGTACTGTGGCACAGTGATGGTACTGTAGCACAGTGATGGTACTGTAGCACAGGGGGTGCATGCATGTATTCATGGAAAGTTGCGTGTTGGTTACAGCTGCTACACCAATCCTGGTTTGATGTGCTGCAAAAACAAAATGCATATATATATATATATATATATATATATATATATCACACACTCTTCCATCACTGTCTTACCAACCTTGACATCCATCTTTCCTCATCTCTCTGCCTCTCCCCACATCTTCCCCCGCCCAGCCTGCTACCGACTGGGCTAAAAGGGCATGTTTGTAGGGTGGGTAGCACACCCATAACCCCCCAGGCCGCACCTGTAGCCCTCCCACACTCAACCGGGAACGATCCCAGTGCCCCACCAACACCCCCATCCCCTCCCCCGCTCACATGCCACCAGGAAGCTGAGTTCGCTGGATGGCAAGGGCGTGGGGGAACTGCTGCAGGAGAGCAAAGCACGTCTGTCACACCCTTGTGACTCGTCACACCCTTGTGACCCATCTTCCCCCATCTCTCCCATCCCCTCCCCCACTCACATGCCACCAGGAAGCTGAGTTCGCTGGATGGCAAGGGCGTGGGGGAACCGCTGCAGGAGAGAATCGCACTGGGCAACAGGACCCGCTCCCTCACCGTGAGTGCTCCACGTAACAACCTCATTTCACGTTTTCACGTACAGCCGTCCTCTTGCGGCCACAGCTGGACGGTGGGGGAACCGCGCAGAAAAGAATCGCACTGGGAAACAGGACCCGCTCCCTCACCGTGAGTGCCTCGTGTGTTTCGGTGACTTCTGAGTCGACTCAAATTCACAAGTCACCTCCTGTGAGTCGACTCAAGGGGGTGGGGGAACCACTACGAAAGAGCTTCACACCGGGCAACAGGACCCGCTCCCTCACCGTGAGTGCTTCTTTCAGTTATTTCTCTGTAATCTTTCAAGGGCCCATTACTCATGTACGTCTGTGGCCCCACCCCTGCCATATTTCCTTCCTTCCATTCAAGTCACAACCCTTCCTCCAAACCTCCACCCCTCCCTCCCCTCCATCTCCCAATGCTTCTGCCTGATACCCACTCCTCAACATCCCCCCCTCCTCCTTGCCCACTTCACCCTCTTTCTCCGCCCAATACCATGTACGACCAACCGTCTCTCCCCTGCCCTGCAGTTACCAGAATCTTGGCGCTTAGAATCAATCAAACTGCACACTGGGCACCACCGAGAACGTTTAAAGCAAGCACTCTCCACCTCTTGAACCCTCCAGCAACCATCGCTCCCTCCTCTGCCGTGCACGTTGTGGGCTCGCTGCACACAGCCGCGCATAGCCCCACTTCAGCTGGCCGTCACTGTTAGCTCTTCAGAACGCCCCCATCCTCCAACAACCATCTCGAATGGTCCTTGCATTGATTAAGGGGTGGTACAATGGAAGATGCAAACACATGCAACAACCATCTCTCTCTCTCTCTCCTCCGTCCTGCAGGCTGTGGGCTTCCTGCGCTTTGGGCTGCCCACACAGCCCATTTCAGCTTGTCCTACCCGGTGCAGACTATCCCTTTTCAATCTCTCGTACCCTCGAACAACTGACTCTCCTCCACCCTCCCAGCAACAACCATCTGTCTCCTGCCCGGCAGGTTGTGGGCTCTCTGTGCTTTGGGCTGCATCTTGAAACAGGCTCTGACGAAAGAGCAGGGGAGCACGAAGGGGAGCAAGGGGGCCGCTCATCGCCCCACTTCAGCTTGCCTTACCTCGTTTGGGCTAAGCCCTACCAATCTCCCCCCACCCTCCAACAACTGTCTCTCCCATGCCCGGCAGGTTGTGGGCTCGCTGCGCTTTGGGCTGCATCTTAACACAGGCTCTGAAGAAAGAGCAGGGGAGCATGAAGGGGAGCAAGGGGAAGAGCGTGTGGGGCTGGGGCAGGGAAGCGAGTGGAGGAGGCAGCACGCACAGCACCTCCTAACCCCTCTGCAGCTCTCGTTTGCGGTTGAAGTGAGCCCTTTCCATGCTCCTCCCTCTCTTTCTCTTCGCAAGTTTTCAATTGCATGTCACAGCACATGCACGCAGCACATGCACCCGGCACATGCACGCAGCGGCTCATCATAGCCCCTCTCCGGCTCGCCTTTGCCGTTGAAGTGAGCCCTCGCCATCTCTCACTCAGTGACCTCCTTCCCGCCAACCCTCTGCCTCTCCTTGATGATTCTTGCCCTTCCCATGTGCTCCCTCTCGCGCTCCTCTGCTTCCCTTGCAAACCATCTTGCTCCACCGTCAACCTTCCATCCACTCGAACCTCTCTCCATCCATCTCTTCTCTGACTCCTGCAGACTCAGCAGTCCATCAGGGCAGCACAAGGCAGCTACACGTGGCACTACTCCCTCTCCCAGCCATCATCCACATCAGCATCCTCCACGTCATCCAGCAAGCCTAACAGTGCTTCATCCTACTCGGTTCCTCCCAATGTTGCTGTCATCACGATGCAGGTAACAATCATCGTGCATGCAGGCAAGCACTGTGTTGTGTTGTAAGAGGCGCCTCGACATCACTGTGTATCATCCGTACTTAACACTGTTGAGACGCGTCAACATTCGTGCTGCACACATTAATCTTCCACTATTTATTATCGCTTCACCTACCTTTCGCTAACGATAATCTAGGCACTTCAGCAAATAATCGTCCACTCCACTCCATCACTCCTCTGCCCTCCCTTCTTCAACCTCCCACACCACTTATAGTTGATCCTTCATCCATCAGCACCCCCATGTTCTCACCACCAGCATACGTGGAGGAGCTTTGAGAACGCTGTGTTGTATGCTCCATCAGAATGCTGTGCTGTGCCATGCCGTGCTGTGCTGTGCTGCAATGCTACTAGTTGTTCCGTTTATCTCAAACGCGCTTGTGCCACTGTCACATGTGCAGGAGCTCTCACCAAGCACGGTTGTCTTGAGACTAGCTCACCTGTATCAAGTGAGTCCCACACTCACTCCCTCTCACTCATTCTCTCCTCACTCACATCTCTTCCCTCACACACTCCTCGTCCGCACTCGCGCTCCTCCCTCTCTCACACCCCTGCCTCACTAGTGCCCTTTACTCACTCAAATCCCCCCCCAGTCGGCCTTCCATTCATCCTGCCCTGCCGTACTGCACCGCTTCCAATCCTCTCAAAATCTCACCGTCCTCTCCTCTGCATTGCACTGCACCACTTGCACTCCACTCCCCACTTACACTCTACACACGCCCTCATACCTCCCTCACCATTGTACTGCCCTTGTATTCCTCCTTTCCGCCAAGATTTCATTCTCAATAATACCTCCCTCGAACTCGGCAAGGCCTCCTGGTTTCAGGAGACCCAAAGCCCACCTCCTTCACTGCCTTATGTGTGTCTGCTTCCCTGTCTCATCTGCTTCCCTGTCTCATCTGCTTCCCTGTCTCATCTGCTTCCCTGTCTCATCTGCTTCCCTGTCTCATCTGCTTCCCTGTCTCATCTGCTTCCCTGTCTCATCTGCTTCCCTGTCTCATCTGCTTCCCTGTCTCATCTGCTTCCCTGTCTCATCTGCTTCCCTGTCTCATCGGCCTCCCCCTCCCTGCCCCATCTGCAACTGCAGCCCGGGGAGCATGCTGCCTGGTCGCGTCCAGCTCAAGTGGACCTCCGAAGATTGTTTGCAGCAAAACAGGTAGATAGTCTGGTTGCCCTACCTTTTCAACAGGTAGATAGTCTGGTCGCCCTACCTTTTCAACAGCTCTAACACGCTCTTGGTTTAAAACCCTTAATAGTCGCCTCTTTGTGACATGTAACTGGTCACCCTACCTGCGTTCTGACTTGCTCTCAAACCCTCTCTCGCACACACCTCTTCACACACCGCTTAGTGATTCAACCACAGCTGCGTGCATACATAATATTTTGTGAGTGAGCTGACCAGGAATCATACAGCAGTCAATCTCAGAAACCCCTAGAATGCTAGCTTCAAATTTCAACCCTACTATCCAGCCTCAGAGCGTGTACCGTAATTGCTTTCCATCCCTTACCAAGATCACACCCATCTCATCCCCCCCATGTTACTTCCCTTACTGTCACATTCCCACCCACCCCTAGCAGATACATGAGGTGACAGAACTGAGTCTGATGGCCAATCAGAAACAAGCAGACATGCGACAGCCTCTTTCCTGGCGAGTGGAGGGCGAGGAGGGAGTTGAGGGAGCAGGTGATGAAAATAGGTCGGCTCGAGAATCGTTCGTTGATCCTGCTTCTCTTGTTGTGGAGTTGGGGCCTGCAGAAATTCGCACATTTTCAATCCGGCTGCAAGGTAGTACATGAGTATTTAGTCGAAAAAATCTTGTGTACCATATCAATTGAAATATCATGTTGCATTGCGCTCTACTTTGCCTTTGTGCTTTCAAAGGGCCCTCTACCATGTCTATTATTGTGGCTATTTCGTACCGCATAATCAAGCATCACGTTGTTTCGTTGCTTCGAAATTATGGGAGACGCCGCATCCATCTGCCGTCAAATGGAGCATGTGTCACTCCTGCGAACTCGCTCTCGTTCAGATCCGCTAGAGCACCTGAGTAAGCCTTACTTGTTCGCTGAGCGAGCCAGCCTAAGCAAATGAGTGCATCACGGGCATAATATTATCCTCTCAATCCTCACAGTGGTCCCGCTTCCGCAATATTCCCTTCCCGCACGCTCCTCGGTTTCTTCCCTATCCGCTGAGGAGCGGGATGAGTTGTATCAACAGCTAAGGATCATTCAGAAGCATAGAGGTTGCAAGGAGAACTGTTAAATGCTCGAGATATCTTATTGAAGGCAAGTGACTGAACACCCTCACCGTGCTGTTCCTGGGTCATTTCCAGTGCCCTAGACATCAGACTTTGGAGTCTGAATCAGAGTCCGTTCAGACTTTTTTTTTGTACCTACCGTAGTCTGAACTCAAAGAAATTATTTATGTACCTTGTCTGATTTTCCAGAGTTTTTTCTTATGAGTTGTCTGAAATTTCAGCCTAATTTTACCATCATCGCCCGGATATAAGACATGTATGTCTTATCTCATACATTAAAAAAATCTGTCTTATAAATGGACAAAAATCCGTTTAGAAGATACTTCCTCGTTATACATTTGCCATTTGCCCCTACACACAAATAGGTGTCTTATAATGAGGCTACCCCGTTTATAAGAGACACCCGTATAATAGACAACCCTTGTCTACTATTCAATACTGTTTTATATCCGGGTGATGACGGTACTAGGGTAGGCTAAGCTTCAGACTTGTATCGGGGGTACACTCTGCGCGCTTATCGGAGCAAAGTTTCCTGGAAGTTTCCTTCTGATATGCCCACTTCCGAGATGGCAGTGGAGTGCCAGGACATGAGCAATGCTCACTTCGACAGCTGGGACATCCAAATACACTCGTTTGTCGAGAATATCTTCCAGTTTCGCTGAGGAATTGGTTGCGTGATTACGAGATTTCTGAAGACAAAATCTCGTCACATGTAAGTTATCGCTAATGTATTGTAAAGAATAGGCGACTTTGATGCTGATTCGCTGTAAAAACATCTGCAGCACGCACTGGTGTGAATTGCGAAGTTCCTGATTCGTACTGAAAGTTTCGTGTGGCATTGTCTGATCCTCACATGCCACGCCAAGCAACAGTTTCTGCCTGCTGCCAGCTCAGCTGCGTGGCACTTGGCCTATTTGATACAGATCGGGTGAACGATCGAATCGCTTGAAAAGCAAATCTAAAACGGACAAAATCGGCACACATGCAAGAAAATGGGTACAGAACGGTAATCACACACACGACAAAACGAAATGAGATCAGCAGAGCAGAAACAACCATGCGCTGCACGTGACAAAAACACTGGAACGCCGCCGATATGAGCAGAGGCGATGCACGAGCACGAGCACGTTGCCTGATGCGTTGGTATGGTAGGCTGTAATCAGCCTCAATGCTATTATAACTGCTTTTACGAAACTGCATGAACATCTTAAAATTTGAAGTAACTTTGACAGTTCAGACAAAAAAAAGTGTGCTTGTCTGAATTTTCAGACTAAAATTTTGAGGCACCTCTGACAGACAGAGTTCCAGGAGGGGTGTACTCTAAGGCCTCAGACTACCTCAAAACGAATCTAGGGGCCTGGTCTTTTCCCCTTAATTTATCCTTCTCCTCCCGAGAGTTTCCTGCCATTGCAGAATGGCTTCTTACTGCTCCTTCCACATTATCCTTTATGTGGAAGTAAGCGGTAGGATTATGAGCCATAGCTAGGAGAGTCCTAGCTAGGCAAGAGACATTTTAGGCAAAGAAGAGGATTTTCACTAGCAGGAATGAGGATACAAATAGCAAACCATAGAAGGGTTGTACTCGCTATAGAGCACCCACTACAGGCCAGAGCATAACATTCTGACACTTTACCCCTCAAGTTATGCATGAATCTGTGAGAGGACTCAACAGCGTGTCAGCGGAGGGAATACCACAGCTCCTAGCCATCACATTCAGTCTATGGTGGAGCTAAAAGACGAGGATTTGGTGGAAACCGATTGAAGCCCAAGCTAGGGGAGCTTGTTGTTGGAAACAATAAGTCCTAAGTGCGCTTCTGTCGTATCAAAACCCAAGGCACCAAGCGAAGCAGTCCCAATCGAAGCATCGAGTCAACCTCGGAGGTTAGGGTAACCGCCTGGAGGTTACGAGAAAGTCAAAGGTCGCTGACCTTTGACTCGACAATCACAGCGCGACAGTTAAGGACACACAACTGACTCGTTACAGAGCAGTTGCCCGAGTCGCACTGTATCGAACCGCAACAGCAATACAGTTATCTACCTATCTATTCGTATTCCCTGTACTCTTATATAAATCCTTGTATTTGCTTGTTTAATTCAATCTACTTTGCTCTCACACACCAGTGCAAGGTCGGTTCACAATCCTCATCAAACGCTTCCGCTATTACAAGTTTTCTACCCAAGAGTTCTCCTCTGCAAAGATCCTAAGGGCTATTTTCTCAGCCCAACATGGTATGAGAGCAGACAGGGGAAAACTCTAACTTTTTTTATCATTACAAGACATGGCAACAAACAAGGAAAGGAGCTCCCCTAATGGCTCCTCGGGGACTACTCCTACTCCACCACCAGCCTCTGGCCTGCAGACAGAGGAAGGCACGGCAGCAAGACCAAGGGGAACGTCAACCGAGACCCCCACGAACCATCCTTCTGACTTCGACCAGAACATGATGGAGAAATTTTTCTCCTTCATGTCCTTCTACGAGCAACACCAGCAGTCGGGACCTGCACAGACACACAACAGCAACAACGGAGCGACACCCATGAGCCTTGACGGGTCGTCATATGCGCGAGGGAATCAACAGCAGCAACCCACCTTCGCCCCGTACGAACGCGGGTCGATCAGCTTCCTGCCTCAACCTCCACCTGCGCAAGACAAACCAATGGATGCCTTACAAGTACAGTCGCAGTTCGCGCATGTTCTGAAACTACAGACGTCAAGACCTTTCGACGGAAAGGACTTCTTTACCTGGTCCTT